CCCTCGCTGGGGCACAAGCCGTGCAGGGGTAGGACGGGCACGGCCTGGGGGGCTCAGGCAGGTGTTAGCAGGGAGGACCGGGGTCAGCAAGGTGCACAAAGCAAAGAGAAGGAAGACATCACTTATCCACGCAGGCTCCTTCCCCAGCCTTGGGGGACACTGGGAGGAGCCTGGCCCTTGGTCCTGAGCTCCCCTTTGCACACTTTATACTATAGGACCTAGGAGGAGGCCTGAGCCCACAGCAGGGCTCGGGAGGGATGGCAAGGGCTGGGGGCTGGACAGGCCAGCCCTGCATATGGGCAGGACCTGCTCTGCGCTGGAAACAAGTAGGGAGGAAACATCTCCCACCTGCCCCATGGCTGGACACACAGCTTGCAGGCTGTCTGGGGCAGGGAGAGAGGGAGCGGTCAGCATGGTGGGGACATCTCCCCTGCAGGGCTGCCAAGGGTGACAGCCTTCTCTGCACAGCAGGGGCACAGTCCTAGCCGTGGGCGCTGTATGGGACGGGGGAACACAGGAGGAAGCCAGACCGCAGAAAGCAGCAGGCTCTGAGACAGGCCGGGGGCCCTGGCACAGCTGGGCAGCGGGCCCCAGCCATGAGCTCAGCACGGCTGCTCCGGGTCCCCTCCCCACCTGTCCCCCGTGGAGCCAGACATGCAGATCCACGGCTCTGCCGAGGCTTTCCTACTCTTTGCTTGAGCCTGCTGTGCTGTGGGGGCGGGGCGGGCGCTCCCCCTCCCCCCGGCACGGCTGCCGAGAAGGGGGATCTGCAGCAGCCCCTTCCCCCCCCAGCTGCTGCAGGGCACTGGAGCCAGCCAGCCTCTCGTGGCCAGGGCGACGCGTTAGGAGCTTTACCTCTGACCTCCAGCTTGGCCTCGCACTGCTTCGTGCCATACTCGTTGACAGCCTTGCAGGTGTAGAAGCCAGTGTCGGTGCGCTCCGCCGCCAGGATGTGCAGCACGAAGAGCCCCCTGGCCCCCTCTGCCTCCTCGGCATGGTGCCGGCGTCCGTACTTCACTGGCTGCCGGTTCCTCAGCCAGGCAGGAGGGATGAGGAGGGAGCAGGATTATCACACTCGGCCCTGCAGACCCAGCTTGGCTGTCCCCAGAAGGGTCTCATCCCCTCCAGCCCCAACCCTCTTCTGGACCAGAGCTCCCTGCCTTGGGGCTGCTCCGAGCTGGCAGTCCCCAAATGGGGAGGTCTCCATGCCCACCCCCCCCCTGCCCAGCCCAGCCGTGACCCAGCAAGCAGAGGGACTCACCAGTAAATGATGGGCTTGGGCTCCCCACGGACGCGGACACTCATGCTGACATCCTGCCCCTCTAGCACTGACTGGTCCAACAGGGCCACCTGGGGAAGCAGGGGGTTAGAGAGCAGCGAGCACCCACGAGCACCCAGGGTCACAGGTCTGCTGCCACAACAGCAGCCCTGGAGCACTGCAGGTGCCAGGGGAGCTGGCTGGGAGCAGGCTCCCCAGGGCACGCAGAGCCAGCACCGAGCTTCCTAGGCTGGACTGAGGCACGGTAGGAAAGCCTGACCCAATGCCTCTTGGCGCAAGGATCACGTGGCTGCGGTCACAGGGCGTGGGCCCGGGGGGAGTCTCAGCTCACCTCAAAGGTGGGTGCAGCCTTGAAGGTGGTCTCTGGGGAGCCGCGGGCAGCCCCATGCTCTGCTCTAGGCTGCAGCTTCATGGCCGGCCGGTGCTGGGGGGTCCCGGACTCGGGGAACTCTTCCAGTGGGCTCAGGTACTCCTCGTCTGACGTGATGGGGCTGACCTGGCCGAGCGGGGGGGCCAAGTTCCCATGCCTCTCCACGGCGGGGGCTAGCAAAGGGAAGAGTCTTGATAAGGAGCTGGCAGAAGTCAGAGCTGGGAAAGCAGATCAGGGCACCCCTCCCCACCACCCTGCACCCCAGGGAACCCATCCCGCTGGGGAGCGGCACCGAGGCAGCCAGGGCCCAGCAGCGAAGGGGTGCTGAGCAGCGCAGGGGGAGGGAGTGAGAAGCACTCCACAGGACGATAAGGGGACGCGATATCCCGCAAGGCGACAGCAGGGCTCAAGTGGCTCTTACGCAGCAGGCCGCGCTCCCATCCTTAAGCTGCCCGGATTCCCGGAATGGCTGCCCCTGCCCCGAGCCGGGAAGGGCTGAAGGTGACATTGGCAGCTGCGCT